AAAAAAAATAAAAAATTTTGTTTGAATTTCTACACACACTCTTATAGATTTTGACAGTTTATGCCGCCAAAGCAAAAACAGAATACATGTAAATTTTTGTTATTGTACTCCTGCTATCACCTTATATTAATTCGTCTTGATACAGCTGAGTGTTAACAAAAAAATTAAAAATTTCGGGAATAATGTATTTGACGTATAAGTTTCTTGGTTTTGTATGGTTATTCTTCCTGCTGATCAGAGGAAATGAGGATTCTAGGAAACCTATAGAGAATAGCGAAAGTAAAGAGGTTGGCGCAAACAATTCGTTATTAACAGCTAGTGTTTGTAAGTACATATTTATGTATGTACAATGTGTGAATACCATATTTATTTATGCTATATCTTTTAGATGCAAAGTTGTTTGCTGAACGCCGAAGAGAGCATCAATTAATGATTAGGAGCATGTTGGCATCGGAAAACTACGAAAAGAACTTCAAACTATTACAAATAGCCTATAGGAAAATATTTGAAGTATTAATTGCTAAAGTTTAAAATGTTTAACTAGTACAATGACGGTAGTATAATGTCGAACAGGTAATAACAGAGAAGAATGCAACACTGACTTCCAATGGTTATAACGCGTCACGCGAGGGATTTCCCCAGAGTAGTGAACTACAAGATGCCGTCACATTCACTTTGGAAAATTGCTGCATTGCCGCTGAAAGTTTGCTACATTTTCCAGAAATAAGTCGCCGGATATTTGGCAAGAATATATCACTTTGGAAATCAACGCTGACTTGGTGCAACGAATTTGTGAACTCTCTGACGCATCTGGTTGATGAAACGACAATAACATTGATGGATCTTTTGCTTCAAGAAATAAATGAAGATCGACGTACGTCTAACTATGTGAATCCCTACTATGAGGCATCTGGAAAACAAGCCCCAAAGAAATTAAAGAAACAATATAAAAAACTAAAAAAGGGGCCATATTTGGGCGGACGTAGAACCGAGTTATAAGTTTTTGTTTTCATTTTTTATATTTATGTATAAACTCTAAGCTATGATTAAAAAAAAAAAAAAAAAACGAATTCAACGATTGTCTGTATTTGGCGCAATTTTTTGCTGCAGCAACTTTCCATAACCTCCTCGGCCGGCATCGTAGTCTGTCCGATATTCGTCGCGTACTTGGCCACCAGTTTTGCCACGACCATACTGCCGTCCTTCTATAAAGCCAGCATCCCAGTCAACACGGATGAGGCGATCATCTAATCGAGTTCCGTTGACGTATCTAATGCGAAAACGTTGGTAACAATGCGTTTTAGTTGCATTTACCTTCCTTACCTCATTGCCATTTCTGCATCAGTCCGCATATAGTATTCGACAAAACAAAATCCACAAGGAGTTTTCTTGTATTTATCTAAACCCATTACAATACGTCGTACTTCTCCGCAACGTGAAAATAATTCATGAATTTGCTCCTCTGTTGTATAAAATGAAAGATTTCCCACATATAATGTGCAAGATTCACGCAGCGAGCGCTCTTGATCCGTGCGCGAGCCCTGAAAGTTTGCGAAGATTATAACCCGCAAGTTAAACAAAATTTTATTTCAAAAGTTTACCTTGAAGTGTTGATCTCGATATGAACTTAAATCTACTGACCCCGCCGACATATTTAATGGTTTAAATAAATATTAAATATTTAATGAAAAATTTATTTGTTTACGATCGTGCAAAAGCGGCTTCGAGAAAACAAATGTCAATTCTGCAAATAAACGTCAAACGTGTAAATCAAGGCGAATTTATACAAGGTGGTGTTTAAGGCGAATTTCGATTTTCGCCGCGGTATCACCATTGTCAAAATGATGTGTTTGTTGTAAACAAAGCGAATTCATATTACAACAAACACATCATTTTGACATTCAGAAGTACCGCGGCGAAAATCTAGATTCGCCAGTAACGCCACCTCAGAGAACGTACGTTCTCTGTTTTGCCGTGACTCATTCACAATAAAGTAGTGTCCGTGTAAGCAATTTAAATTCGCCTTGGTTAAGCAACCTGAATTAATTAAAAAAAGGCATAAAAACTAGCGAATAAAATGTGAAATATGTTCGTGTTCTCTGTCGGAGATTGTTAAGTATATAATTATTTATAAATTTAATCCTACGACACCAACAGGGTATCAATCGTGTCCCAAAAAGAAATGGAATTTCACCTGAAATAAAGGACAAAGCAAGTTTCAAAAATAAAATAAAAAGATATACTAATGGAAATAATTTAAATATAAATACATACATGAAAAATAATGAGAAGAAAGTGAATTGCTATCACTGGGAGATTAACAATGTTCAGCGGAATGGAAGACAGATTAGAATTGACGGCAACACCAGAAGCCAAATATCAAAAGTTGGCTAGCGAATACTCAAAAGTACGCCCCTTGAACATTTTGCAGGATGATCAACACAATACATTAACATTATTATTTCTTTGAAGCTACGAGCGCGTGCTAGTGTACTCAGAAAAGCGGTTTTAGATGAACAGTCAAAGGGAGACGGCTTACGGGAACAATTGCGGCATAGTGAAACGTCACTTCGACGGGCGGAGCAAGAAGTGGACTCTTTGGGTTTTCGAAACAGGCAGTTAGAACATAGAGTAGCAGTTTTGCAAGATGAAATCGCAACGCATGAAGGGCGCAATAAACGCGATAAAGCTAGTAAGGGCGAACCATTGCAGTCAGCAGAAGGAAGAGTTACTGGAGCTGTTGGAGACTTGGCACAGGATGCTCTGATTTTCGAAGAACTTCAAAAGAAAATAATGGAAAACGCAGAACTAACCACAATGGTTTGGGATAATGAATTTTTATTGTACATAAGCTTTAAAGTCCCCTTTTTAATTTAAGATTGATGACAAAGAGCGAGATCTGCAAATTCATACCGAACGCATTGCCAGTTTGGAACAAATGCTAGATAAGCGTGTTGCTGAATTCACAGAGACAGAAAAACGATTACGTCGTGAAATGGAAACGCTAGAAAAAAGAAATTCGGAACTTGAAGCTAAGTTGGTCGATGCAGTTAGTATGGTAAGCTTGTATTGCAAAGCAAATGCAAACATAATAGACAAGAAGAATTTCCTGTCCGACAGTGCTCCCAGCCTCAGCAATGCCCTTCTTGATTAGTAAGGCGGCATACTTTAAAGCGAAATCGGATGCTCCAGTAGGGCTACTATAAGGATAGTACATTTCATTGAGCGCGTTTTATAAACCCAAAAATTAAATATCCTTTGCTAACAATTTAGTCAACATGTGGTGAGAATGTTAGTTTGCTATCAAAGATGATCCCTAAGGGCTAGTTTTTCAGTGCCGGTTCATACTTAGAATAAGAAAACTGAGTTTAATTTGAAAAGCTGATCTTAGTTTAAACCAGCCAGATCGGGCTTTTAAGCCACCAACCTCACTATTCTTTTATCGCATCTAAGTCACGTTGAAAGTTTTGATAGTCCGTATTGTCTTTTATAAGTTTAAAAAGTTTTACACTATCAGCAAAATCTATTCTTTTATCGCATCTAAGTCACGTTGAAAGTTTTGATAGTCCGTATTGTCTTTTATAAGTTTAAAAAGTTTTACACTATCAGCAAAATCTATGCACCGTAACCACTTGAACCGTGGAGGAGTCATTTAAGAAGAGCAAGAGTAGCAAGAGGACCAACATTAGCCTCTTGCAGTAAGCCCGAAGTTGCATTTATAATTAGAGTCCGACCGATTAATTGGCCGATGCCGGGGGCTAGTATTGACCAAAAGAATCGGCTTCGGCCGTTTTTGACCGATTCTTGAATAAGGTAATGTTATTTAGTTATTTTATTTTGTTGTTCTTTTGTTATTATACAAGTTTATGAAAGGATTTGTTCTTGAAATTAATTTGTATTCAGAATTTAATCGGGCGGTTCTTTCATTTCAAGAACAAATGCTTTTATAATTTTTATAATAAAAGAAAAACATAATCAAATAATTAATGGTGTTTTCTTTTCTACCAAAAAATTTTGCATTTTGGTAAAACAAGGGCATTCGGTGAGAAAAATGTGTGTTCGTTTCTTAAAATGTCACACTCTTGTAAAGCAAAATAGGCACATTTTCTGCTTAAAACGATAATATTATGAAATGCGTTAGCTGGACAAGGACTAGAGGGCAAAAACATGCCCTTTGAGAGGGTTGAGTGTAACAGCAAAGACATTGTGCACCGTGCTAAGGCAACCGTTTTTGGTAGAAACGAAATCACCATTAATAACATTAACTTGTTCAAGGATCGCCCAAAAACGGCCGAAACCGATTCTTTTGGCCGATGCTAGCCTCGGCATCGGACGATTAATCGATCGGACTCTATTTATAATATGGCCCGTAAATTTTTCGCAGAATCTTTCTCTGCTGGTAAAATAAGAAGAGAAAGGCCTCCTCTGCGTTGGAAAGACCAGGTGCAGAAGGACTTGGTTTCACTTGGCATTTTCAATAGGCGTAAGTTGGCACTGAAGTAAACGACTGGCGTGCTGTTTTGGGCCCACCAAAATCGGTTATAGCGCCAATAAAGTAAAATAAGAAGAGGAAGAAGATTCTTACCACCAACTTCCCATTAGACAGAAAGTTTCTAGAGGATTTAAGTAGTGAGCTAGTGATGCCGAATTTACCAAGATTATAAAACAAAATATTAAGATTAACTTTATCGAAAGCTTAATGACCTCAAGTTGAGCATGTTTTTCCATTGCTGAAATGATGCCCCTTGTTCACTATCTCTAAGTTAGCAACTGTCCGACTACTCTCCCATACAAAGTATGTTCGACAATTTTTTTTTGTATGGGAGAAATACCGTCAGGAAAAAAATTGTCAAAAAGCATTGCCATTTTTTAGCAACTTCAAGCCTGAACTTTGTTATGCTAAAATTGAATGGGCTATAAAAGTGCATACCTAGTATTAAAAATCTAAAAAAATCTAAAAAATCTAATTTGAAAGTTGTAAATTAGTACGGAAATTTAATGAATTTTGTTGTACTATGAACTATATTTTTAAATAAAAAACATCAATAAGCAATTAGAATAAAAAACGTTGCATGAATTGCGAAAAATTTTCTGTGCAAACACTTTTGTCCGGCACTGTATGTGAAAACCAGCTTAAGCCCACTTTAACGAGATTACTTTAATAATTTGAATACCTATAATTTCGTTTTCTTTTGCTTGTAGCTGGGCAGTGAGGATGCCCTTAGCGTTTCGGGTAGTGATCACACCCCTTTACATGTTGCTACCCCACATCATCATCATCCCTCCGCACTGTCTACAGCCAACGCACACGCTGTCGCAACAGCCGATGAACGTATTTCTTGTCTAGAAAAAGAAATGGTTCACTGGCGTACACAATACGAAATGGCGAAATTAAAACAAACAGTTATTATGAATGACGGAAATGGAATCGAATTAAAAGATAATGCATCAACAACCGTGTCAGCCGCTGCTATGGATGCTGCTGTAGCGGAGTATAAGAACTGCAGCTGTAGCAGTACAGCAGCTGGTTTAGTGGTGAAGCCGATTTCAGTGGACGACAAAAGGTATTTGAAAAAAGAAATGCGAGGTAGTAATTTATAATAACTTCTATATAGTAAAAATCTTTTGAATCATTAATTTTTATTTGATCTTAAAAAAATTTCTTGGTATTGAACTTGTTTTTATGTTCATTCTTACAGCGTACGGGAGTCGATTAAAGAACCAATAGTGCCGCCTACGAAAGAACTACTTATTTATAACACATTTAGCCAAAAATTCGAAGATCTCCTGAAAGCAAAGTATTTGGCTGAATCTCGTATTTCCTCGTATGAAATAGAAGTAGAACATTTCCAAATCTGTTTGGAAAATGCAACACATGAGTTAAAAGCAAAAGATGAACAAATGGGAAGCATAAATCAGGCATTACAAATGTTAGAGGAAGACTTGGTAAGAACCTTCATGCATAACTCGCACTACTAAAAATAATCATAACTTAATTTTATTAGGCAACGACACGTGTTAATTACGAAGAGCAGATAAGTGTTCTCACGGAACAGGTGATCAATTTAAGTGAGCAGTTAGCTGCTTGTAAATAATATATATGCATGTATTCACCTGTATGTATATACAAGATACGCCTGTGACAGAATGCAAACACAAACAGGCTAGTAAACGCCTTTAATGGCAAACAATAATTGTAAATTCCTCCAAAGATGAATGTCGTGTTTGTTCCGATATGCAAATATTTATGAGAACATCGTTTTGATTAGCTTAGCAAACCGAAATTGTTGAATATTTAGTGAACTTATAATTAAGATTACTATCGAACCTTTATGCAGCGGCAGATGATGAAAGATGAAGAACACGAACAGTTATACCACATGTCATATTTCAGCTTAATGCATTTTGTGTAAGAAATTTATAAATTGAAAAAAATCATCTAAAAATAGATATTTTCTAAATGTGTAACTTTATAACGATTTATAAAAACTAATAAACACGAAAATAGTTTATAACTTAGTTTTTGTTTTCTACAATAAATTTAATTTTTCAAAAAAGGTATTTTTGGAAAGTTGAATCCACTCAAGATTCCATATGTAATAGCGTGGCCCAAAATCCGCTTCTTAAGAATTTGGATTGGTAATAGCAAAAATATGGTTCATTATGCTCTAAAAAAAAGGTCTATTTGTAAACTTTTATTTTTTGAGCATATTGAACTTTGATGAACTTGGGCGAGCCTTAGGATATTGACCAAAAAAACAAATTTCACACAGATTTTTTTTTAGCGAAATGAACCATATTTTTGCTATTATCAATCAAAATTCTAAAAAAGCGGATTTTCAGCCCACGCTAATATGAAAATATGCATTTAAACAATATATTTTTATTGTTGAACGGAAACAACAATAAATTCTGTGTTCACATGGAATAGTAGCTTATGTCGAAAGCCTGGCTTTAGTATAATGCGGCATTCGCAGCATACGACTGCGAATGACTCACTGGCGCCGCGCCGTTGAAGAACTTTTGGCAAATAAACGTGCCAGAAATAGTTCCGATACTAGCAAGTCAATATTCTTATTAAGTCTCATCAAAAAATTCCTTGTCTTTTAAAGGATAAAGGAAATGCCGCATTACACTAAAACCAGTTTCTCGACATAAGCTACTATTCCATACGAATCACAAAATTAAACCAATAAATATTACAAAGGTAAAAAAGATAAGGTTGTTGAAAATATGGCTCCGCTTTTTTTACTTGCGATATAACACTAGCACCGTACCTGTTATTTTTTGTTTAAACAGTATTTCCCTGATAATGCTGATATACTCTCTTTTATTCCGTTTACAAAGTTACTACATAAAAGTGCTGCAATACAGAATAAACAACGACAATTGAAATTTAGTTCTTATTTCTAATCCAATTTTATTGAAAATGAAGAACCACATGAGCAACCTTGCTCCGCTTGCGGATTTGCTAGCATCCGAAATCCAGAGCGTATTAATTCCGTATGGTAGTCGACCGTGGCACCAGCACAGTATTCCAATGATATACTGTCTATGACAACTTTTGCATTTTCCTCGCCGAAAACTATGTCATCACTGCTCAATTTACTGTCTAAGTCAAATTTGTACTGAAATCCTGAACAGCCGCCGCCTTCCACGGTGATGCGTAGAAAAGAACGCCCATTGCCAGCTATTTCCAGCAGGCGCTTCTTACATGAATCGCTAATGACTAATTTTGTCCCCCCTGGACTGGGTTTCGGGTCTTCTAATGTAGCGGTTTCAGTTATATCAGCATTCTTAGTGGAAAAGGTTTCCAGGTATATTGAATTACAGCGCGATGCCGCACATATTTGTCTGTAAAGATAACTATTTTATATAAGAAAACTCATGTAGGCATACATAGAATGTACCTGTAGCATTTGGGACTGAGCAGATTTCTCAGAGCAAATGCCATTTATAATATTATGCACTACCTAAAGAATTATCGTTTAAATATTTCGCAATTTATATATGTATCTATTTATGTTTATAATCAATCCAGTTTTTTCTGAAGGAAAATCTCCACTATAGGGATCAAAACAAAACTTGCATAATGGCGTTGAACATACCTCTTACAAACAGCTGTTTGAAGAAGGAATCAAAACAAAAACGGAAAAGAGAAAGTAAAATAAAACGGGGTATTGAAAAGATCTCTTTGTCCTCCATTTGAATCCCACGTGGACGTGAAAACAAAATAAACTTAGCTCAATATAGAAATTTATCTCATTTACTACAAAACTCCTCATATTTTACGGAAATTAGTGAATATGGCAAGAAGACCAGAACACTCAGCTCCACCTGAAATTGTAAGTGTTCAATATTTCTTTTAGCACATAATAATTTATTTTATTAATTGTTTTCAGTTCTACAACAGCGATGAGGCTAAAAAATACTCAACCAAGTGGGTACATATACGCGTGTTTAGTTCCTTTTTTGTAAATATGATGCTTTGTTTACAGCACTCGAATTATTGAAATTCAAATTGAGATGGCTGAACGAGCCTATGAATTGCTTACGCTGGATGAAGATGAACAGTGTTTTATATTAGACATTGGTTGCGGCTCAGGGTTATCGGGCAGCGTTCTTGATGACAATGATCATATTTGGGTTGGTGTAGATATCTCGAAAGCGATGTTGGATATAGCTTGCGAACGGGAGGTAGCAGGCGATCTCCTGTTAGCGGATATGGGAGAGGGTATGCCGTTCAGGCCGGGTACTTTCGATGGAGCAATATCAATTTCTGCCCTCCAATGGTTGTGCAATGCTGACAAAAGCTCACACAATCCGCATAAAAGACTTTATAAATTTTTTTCTACGTTATTCTCCTGCTTGACACGCACAGCGCGCGCTGTATTTCAGTTTTATCCCGAAAACGCGGATCAAATTGAAATGGTCACATCTCAAGCCATGAAAGCAGGTTTTTATGGTGGTTTAGTGGTTGATTACCCCAATTCCACCAAAGCAAAAAAGTATTTTCTAGTTTTAATGACCGGCGGAACCGCACCGATGCCAAAAGCGCTAGGTTAGTCTTCTCTTTAAAACGTAGTCTAAATATTAATTACTACATTTTATTTTAGGAACGGAAGAAGAGGAAAAACGAATAAGTTATATCAAAAAACGTGATATGTGCCGAGAAGCCCGAGGCAAGCCAATGAAAAAATCGCGTGAATGGATTTTGGCTAAAAAGGAACGCAGACGACGTCAAGGTCGTGACACACGCCCTGACACAAAATATACGGCCCGCAAACGAAGTGGAAAATTTTAGCGAAGTAAATGGTAACAATTTGTTTTATGTATTAAATCAAAATATACTAACCATAAATTTATGTTACAATTCTTCTACCTACAGCTTGAATACATATATGTATGTAGTTAAAAATAGAATATCTATACACATTGCCTCTAAATCTTTCCTGATATTTTATCACAACTATGTTTCTGGGCTTGTAGAGTTGGCGTTCATTATTGACTTCTCACCCTCCATGTCAGTTTTCATTTTTTCTGCAGCTCGAATAGCGCGTTCCTTTGGTGTGTCTAGTGACGACTCAGTGTAAAATACGGCGTACATGACCACTGCAAGAAATACGAGTCCGAAAAGCACCATTTCGTTTTGTAAAGCTAATACATGGTCGCGGTTCTGAGCTTTCTTGCGATCAAATTTCTGTTTGGCATCTTGCCGTCTTTGAAAGGATTTACCGTAATGAGCGCGAGACCACTCATCAAAATCATAAATGGGCGTGCGTCCCATTTCATCGGAAACTTTTGATTTCTTAAATCTAGATTTGTAAAACTTTGTTTCCGGATCGTCTTCTTCTTCCGGTTCGTGCTCCGTTGGCTGCGCATATGTTGATCCCGCTGTGTGTATAATGCCTACAATATTATGTATAGCATATAGAACTGGTTAAAATATTAACTAAGGTATACCTTTGTCATATAGCCTCCTTAAGCGATAGTTGCCTAGTACTTCATATGCTTGGGTGATTTCTCGAAATTTTTTCGCAGAATTTTCACAACCTTTATTTTTATCCGGATGATATTGCATCGAGAGTTTGTAGTATGCTGACTTTATCTCGCTCTGGGTTGAGCTCTGTACTATTCCAAGAGCTTGATAATAGTTGGCGCTTTTCAGCGATGAGCTGGTAGAGAGATACTGAGCGTTACTGTAGCTGTAGTGCGTCGACAAAATGCTACGCAATATGAACCGAGACTGCCTATTATACATCGCACGGGCCACCGATTTCGATATTTTGGATTTGTTTTTAACACGATTATATCATTTTGTTAGGAATTGGGAATTGTAGCAATTTGACAGCTTTGCGTCACATTTCGCATTCACAAAACAGCTGATGAAAGTAAAATTCCGGGGGTGAAAGAAAACCCCGTCGAGAAATCATAAATCCATATACATACATATACCTCAAAAATTTCGTTGAAAAGTTTTAAGAATTAGGGCCAGTTTTTCAGTGCACGGTCGTAGTTTAAACTCAGTTTAAACGCCCGATCTGGCTGGTTTAAACTAAGAGCAGCCAATCAAATGTCAGCCAATTCAATTCAATTTTAACTCAGTTAACTTAACTGGCACTGAAAAACTAGCCCTTAGTGTAAAAAAGGCAATATTAAAAACAAAGTTCATAAGGGCTTGCACCGGATTGGATTGTAGATTTGTGAAAGAGCGTATATACGTTCTTAGTTAATACCGAGTACCACCATGATGTAGAGTACTGCAGTTTACCGAACTGCCTGTGAAGACCCCTTATGTAGGTACTTATACATATATTTTCCCACTTCTCCTTTGGTCACTGAACGTACGGAAATGTCAAATAAATAAAAGATTGATCAAAATAAACGAAAATAAAAAGTCGAAAGAAATGTTCACAAGTTTTATAAATAGACCATCTGTTGGTAGGCAAAAAAAGAGCGGTATAACGACTAAATTTCTTCGAGGGTATTTCAAAGTTTTCACGAAAATTCGGAAAAATTCACAATTCAACGCAATCCACACGGTAGGTGTTCGAGAAAGTTCGGCAGGTGTGAGAAGGCGCATTTCGGGCACTCTTAAACCTATAAATAAAAGTGCACAGCCATAAGCAGAAAAAGTTTTTAAGTGAACTATTCAGTAGAGACGTGACACAAAGTTAAAATATAAAATAAAATAAGAAATTATTAATTTTTGCATTGTGAATTTCAATTTTAATAGAAATCATTAGGTAAATTCCATAAAATGACAAATAATACAAATAAACCCCTTGAAAGCGAAGAGGAAGCCCTGACCTACAAAAACGAAGGCAATGCGGCTTTCAAAGCTGAAAAGTGGGAGGAGGCTGTGAAAAGTTATACGAAAGCCATTACAGCTGGTGAGAAACACAAGGAATTGCCCGTTTTCTACAAAAATCGCGCTGCTGCTTACCTTAAACTTGACAAATACAAGGAAGCTTTAGCCGATTGCACGGAATCCTTGCGTATTTCACCAAAGGACCCCAAGGCACTGTTTCGTCGAGCACAGGCTTACGAGGCCCTACAAAAATATGAAGAGGCATACAAAGATGCCACCGATTTGTTTAAAGAGGACCCTAATAACAAATCAGTACAACCCATGCTTAAACGTCTACATCAGATTGTACAGGAACGGGTTACCCAAAACGCAAAGACATCAACGAAGGTAAACTTTTGCCTCCTCACATAATTTTATGAAAATAATATGTAATTGCCAATTTTAGGTCAATCAAATGATGGAGCTTACTTTTGATGTCGGAGCTCCAGTGGATAAGCGGCGTTCAGGAGCTAATAATCTATTAGTGCTTGCGAAGGAAGAAGTTGGGGCGGATATGCTCTTCAAAGCCGGATGCATTACAAAAATAGCATCTATAACCAAAATAGAAAACGATCCAGAAATTTATTGCAATTTGATACGGGTAGTTGGTGAGTTATGCAGTGCCTCCGTGGAGCGAACTAAGTCAGTTTTGCGAGAATTGGGTGTACCATGGTTCCTCCATGTGTTGGATCATAAGCACGAAGAACGGGTTACGGCTGCCCAGTATTGTTTGCAAACTATAATAAACTGTTTGTCGGGAATGGAAAACAAGCCCGAAAGTAAACCAAAAAAAGAACTATGCCAGCAAAATCAAAAGGAAATCGACACACTTTTAACCTGTCTTGTTTACACAATAACAGATCGGACAATATCAGGTTCGGCACGTGATGCCATTATCGAGTTATTAACGCGCAATGTTCATTATACGGCACTTGAGTGGGCAGAAAGATTGGTAGAAATACGTGGGTTACATCGTTTGTTGGAGGTGTGTTCTGAATTGGAGGAATATAAATATGAAAGTGCAATGGAAATAACACCATCCTCGCGCACCATAGCATCAGTGTGCATGGCGCGAATCTACGAGAACATGTATTACGATGAAGCCAAAAAGCGGTATGCCGATCAGATCGATGAGTACATAAAGGATAAACTTTTGGATCCTGACATGGAATCTAAAGTTCGCGTAACAGTGGCCATAACTTCTTTGTTAGCCGGACCCTTAGATGTAGGTAATCAGATTGTGGCTCGGGAAGGAATTTTGCAAATGATATTGGCAATGGCCACCACCGAAGATGAGTTGCAGCAACGCGTCGCTTGTGAATGCATAGTAGCTGCTGCGTCTAAAAAGGACAAAGCTAAGGCATTGTGCGCTCAGGGTGTTGACATACTGAAAAACCTTTACAAATGCAAGAATGATAATATACGCGTTCGTGCTTTGGTCGGACTTTGCAAGCTTGGAAGCTACGGTGGACAGGATGCTACAATCCGACCATTTGCTGATGGAGCCACTAGCAAATTGGCCGAGGCATGTCGTCGCTTCCTGATCAAACCCGGTAAGGACCGGGATATACGTCGATGGGCAGCGGACGGTCTGGCCTATCTTACCCTGGATGCTGAGGTTAAAGAAAAACTGATCGAGGATAAGCCTGCGATCCACGCACTCATAGATTTGGCTCGTTCCGGCGACCAGTCGTGTCTCTATGGTGTGGTAACGACATTTGTAAACCTCGTCAATGCATACGAAAAACAAGAGATGTTGCCGGAAATGGTAGAGCTGGCGAAGTTCGCCAAGCATCATATACCGGAGGAGCACGAGTTAGACGACGTAGATTTCGTTAATAAACGTATTACAGTTCTTGCCAATGAAGGCATCACAAGTGCACTCTGTGCACTCGCTAAAACTGAGAGTCACAACTCACAGGAGCTGATAGCGCGTGTACTAAATGCCGTATGCAGTTTACAGGAGTTGCGCGGCAAAGTAGTGCAAGACGGTGGTGTTAAAGCGTTGCTGCGGATGGCTTTGGATGGGACCGAAAAGGGCAAACGGCATGCGTCACAGGCCTTAGCGCGCATCGGTATTACGATCAATCCTGAAGTAGCTTTTGCCGGACAACGAAGCTTGGACGTTATACGACCTTTGTTAAATTTGCTGGCGCAAGATTGTACTGCATTGGAGAATTTCGAAGCGCTTATGGCACTTACCAACTTAGCGGCGATGAATGAGAGCGTGCGTCAACGTATCGTCAAGGAGCAAGGTGTGTCGAAAATTGAGGTTTACCTAATGGAAGATCACTTGTACTTGATACGTGCGGCAGCGCAATGCCTCTGCAATCTGGTGATGTCCGATGATGTGGTCAAGATGTTCGAAAAGCCCAACGATCGCGTAAAGTTCTTAGCATTGTTGTGTGAAGATGAGGATGAAGACACTGCAAAGGCTTGTGCCGGGGCGCTGGCTATTTTAACGTCAATTTCAAAAGTATGTTGCACCAAAATACTTGAAATCGGTACGTGGTTGCAAGTTCTCCACACCCTCATCGCCAATCCAAGCCCGGATGTGCAGCATCGTGGCGTTGTAGTAATATTGAATATGATTAATGCTGGTGAGGATATCGCGAAAAAGCTCTTTGAAACCGATATTATGGAACTACTTAGTGGCCTCTCACAGCTACCAGATGATACGCGTGCCAAAGCGCGTGAAATTGCACAGCAGTGTTTGATAGCGGCGGAACGCTACAAACTTATTGAGAGATCGGACGATCTTGTGGCACCGGATGTTTTCGAAGAGGCGGCACGTATTGAGGAGATCACTGATTAATATGCATATGATTGCCAACAAATTAGAAGTAAGATCAAGGTTGTCATAAGTGCCAAAAATGCACTAGTAATTCTTTGCACGTGTACGTATGTATATAAGAATGTTTTCGTCCATGCATATGTACATATACATCACGAACCATCATGATTCATATATCAGTGTAGTGCTACTACCATGTTTTCAGTATAATTCTAGTGTTGTATCACTATTTTAATTATTAACCTACTTTTTACCAAAAAGTTTAGGCTATTCATTAAAACAGTTATTTAATAAATTTTGAGTTTTAGTTCAAAACTATGTGGTGGATTTGTCATTTGTTATTAGTTATTTACGATCTCAATTCAAGTGCTCCTTTTGGGACATGATTTTCCTCTTCAACAGAACTCGTACGTGTGTACATATACGTATAATATATAGTATTGCACTATTTTTTGGGTCTGCGTACTATATACTGTTGGAAAAAAATAGTATGCAAAAATACTATATTTCTTCAGTTATAAAGTATTTCAGTATTTCAAGAAAGAAATATTTTTAAATGGATGACATTTATACTGAAATAACAGTATTAAAAAAAATATACCTTAAAACAAAGGGTCCACAGATCAAAAATGGTAACATTTTTAAAAAAACCTAGGGCCAAATTCACAGTGCGTATTTAACTCAGAATCGACAGTTTTCAGTACAAAAATCTTTAGTTAACTGTCGCACTGTGAATTTGGCCCTTAGAAAGATTTACCAAATTTACATCTACAATTTACGCGATTGTGTAAGTTTAGATTATTTAACATTACAAACGAATTTAAATATGCATTTTAGTTTATAATAAAACCTATTTGATATGAACCTTAAATAAATACTTTAAAGAAGTATGATTTTTATGAATTTAAGAAGCAGCTTTATATGAATTCTAGGCTGGCGAAAGCAGAAGGCATTCAATTTGTGCAACTACATACAAAAAAGGGCTTTTAGCTCCTGAAATTATCTACTGGTACATGTGTGCATAAACACATACATACATATCGTCACCTGAAATGCAAAAAGACGTAACAAACATCGTCGCTGAAGTGGAAAAAGTCATAACCATGGTGGAATTATACAAGGTGCTGTACGTAGTGACAGCTCATGTCGACGGCTCCCTTACAAAAGGTTGTAATATGGAAGAACGAGAGAAACGGGAAGAAAAGAAGCACGCTTTGCGAAGTAGTACGAAATTTGGTACTCTTTCATATCAAATTTTGCATATAAATAGTAACAAACGGTATATTATGATAAGCTAAATTTGCGAAAGTAGTATATATTACGTAGCACTTATGCAATAAATGGTAATTTAGTTTATTAAACACAATGTCCTATAATTATAGTCAAACTTCCAAAACCGCTTTGGGGTCTAATTTTTACCCGAAAATACTATAAGATGATTGATATAACTTACAAAAATTTCGCCATCAAAAAATTAGTAGTGACCCCGAGTCGTTACAATATGACGGAGTCGACAAAAGGGCGCATCGACGGATGGGGAAAATATTTCATCGAACAAAATGCCAACTAAAGATGTGGAGCTTGTATCGCAATGCAAGCTGCGACCGTTCTGAACTGAGATGCCAAACAAATGGTTTCTACAAATTGAGGCCACCTTTCAGTCGTACAAGACCACATCTTATGTCCGGAAATATAATCTGGTCCTCTCAGCAATTAGCAGCGATGCTTTAAAGGAAGCTGCGGATGTTTTAAAAGCCGTACCAGCTCAAGACCGATATATTAACCTCAAAAGTCAACTACTGTCACGTTTTACTGATTAAGCCGACCCACATAGGGTATATGGCTGATTTTAGGCCTTTGGAGAATACACAAAGCCAATGTTTTTTGTCGAATCAATGATTTTAATTTTTAATTTAATTTTGTCAACGAATAAGAATAAAGTAAATGTCAAAGAATTGTTCAGTGATTGCAAATCAGTTTTGGAATAGGGAATGAGGTAGTTTAGTTTTTTTAAAGGCGGTAAAATGTAGTTTTTTCAAGAGGGAAACACCGATTTTGCTAAGGGAGCCAAGATAGCAGATTAGAGCGAGAACGCTGTCAATATCCAACACCTTGTATTATTCCACCATGGTCATAACTAATAAAAACTAAAATTTCACTTTTTAATTGATATGATGGATTTCATCGAATGTCACTCCCCACATCGTTTAATAAAAAAAAAATATTCAGCCACATTGCGTAAGTCGTAAATTAGGCTGAATTGTACGACTCGACAACATTAGCATTGTCTACTGTCGTGCTGAAATAAGTAAACGACGAAAATTGTCGAAAACTATGCAGTGCTGCCAAGTTCTTCCGTTTTAATACACTAGTCGAGTGGAAATTTTAGGCAATGACGCTAAATTTTCGATACGATTCGACTCTCGAAAAACGACTTGCATTCGGCACGACTCACAGTGCCGCGAAGGTGGACAAAAATACAAAAATCGACTGTCTTGAAACTTAGATGTTTTGATGTCAAGTTACAGCTAAATCTCCAACTAAGAGAAGTTCACAAGTTATTTTGTGATAAAAACAACTTTCAGCCTCACACACCCCCTCAAAGTACACCTATTTTCTACATACCATTTCATTTCGGCGATTCGCACATAAAAGTGGTCGCAGTTAAAAATTTGTTAAAAATACATTTTTATTCCTAGCAAGATCAACTTTTGCACTTTGATAAAGATATATGCGACAAACCAAGAAATGTATGGTTCATGGAAAAAAAATTTATACAAATATTTTTTTTTTATTAATAAATAAATATATGATTAAACATACCAAAATCCGAAAATTGGTAAACTGTGGAGACAAAAAAAAAAAACATCTTGAAAGTTCGTGAAATTTTTTTTTTGGTTATGGTAGTTTGGACCTTCTACTAACAGAAACAATCAAAATCTCTTCCAACTTTTTCCAATATTTGAAAATTTTCAATTTTGAAAAAGTGACTAAATGCCTTTTTTTTTGGTATTATTTTAGCTGATCTATATTTACAATACTTTTTCTGAATGCCCTAAGATCTAAATTTTTGGTTCGCTTTTCAAAAATAAGGTATTGAATTAAAGCTAAAAGTGCCAAAAAAAAAAATTAAGAGGTACAGGGTGCTTTGAAATGAAAAAAATTATCAGCTAATTAAAATACTTAAATATGCATCACGGTATGGGAGCCAAAAACAAAGGTATACGAAGATTTACATATATATATATATACATATATATATATATATATATATATAGAGCAATGACACCAGTTTACAAATAATATGTTAACCAATGATTAGACGCAAGGCGAACAAAAAGCAAATAAAAATAAATAACATACCTATTACTCTTCATCTGCATAAAGAGTACTATTTTGCTTAAGCAGCAAACAGCTTGCGAAAATGATAGTACAAATGTATGCACATCATGGAGGTCCAATTTTTTTATATATTTTTTTTTTTTGATTGAGTCTTTTTATAATTTTGTTCACCTAACTAATTACATTACCTGTGCAAAAATTTCAACGTTTTACTATTAGTGGAAAATGTAGCTCAACGCGAGTTTAAAATTTCATGAATTTTTCTCTGGTGCTAAGAGTCCTCTCTTGTGGAAAACAAATAAAAACCCAAGAGTTTAGTGTTTTGTTGAACGAAACAAGAGAGTTATATCTTAGAAATTATGGTTGGTATAACATGCCAAGTTCAGTGCATAAAGTTTTAGTACGTGGACGTGATGTAATTAAATACTTTGATTTACCAATAGGTAATGATTTTAAAGCTATGTTTTCATTTATTTTCTTATTCTGTATTTCCACCTATTTTATCAGGTTCATTATCAGAAGAAGCCTTAGAATGTTCACACAAAAACATACGAAAATATCGGCTTAATCGTTCTCGAAAAACTGGAAGAGTACAAAGCAATACGGATTTAATGACTCGTTTGATATTATCGTCAGATCCATTAGTTGCATTTAAAAGAAATATAAAACAGAGAAACAAATATTTAAAGGGTTCTGATCTCAGCTTTAATAAATACATCGTTGAAAGTGACGAAGCAGACAAAAGCATGGAATCATTTGAATCAGTGATCACTTCCTCCTCTTCTGAGGACTCTGAAACTGAGTGATTATAACAACTAGTTCGGTTTTTATTAACATATTATATGTTATTACCATATAACAGCTATTATTACTTACTTACTTAACAGTGATTATGCTTTATTTTAAATGAAATCAAAAGAATTTTTTTTCTAAAGGTTAACATGTAAGGAAAACGGACTTAATTTTTCAAATTACCATAATGTATTCATTTAGGAAGTAAAGTTTAGACGAATTTTGACTATTAAGACTATTTTTCTGAACACTTAGCAACAATGATATGCCATATTTCATTTTTAAATAATCATGTGCAAAAACTCGGTGTTTTTTTAATGGGTACCCGTTACAAAAAAACCGATTACTTTCTTAAAATTAGAGTAATATAGACACTTCAGATGTAAAGTTTCAATAAATTCTGACGACTCCTTCCTGTTTTCGTAAACACCACAATCAGCAATGATTATGCCTTATTTGTCTTTCATATAGTAATGTAAAAAAAAATCTTTTTTTTTTAATGGGTACCCGGTACCGAAAAATCGATTTCATTTTTGAAATAAGCATGGATTAGTCCTTTTAGGTGTAAAGTTTCAACAAGTTCTGAATACTATTTCGGTTTTTATAAACATATGTCTACGATGATTATGAGTTATTTTACCTTTTTATAAAATTGTAAAAAAAAAAAATTTTTAATTAAATGGTAACAGATGCTGAAAAACGTTTTTTTTTTCTTAAATTGCCGTGATATAGTCCTTTCAGGTGTAAAGTTTCAGCCCATTCTGATGCCTCCTTCCACTTATATCAACACATGTCCACAATGACTATTTTCATATAAAAATGCAAGAAAAACTCGGTTTTCTCGAAATGAGTAACCGGTACAGAAAAACCGATTTCATTTTTGAAATTAGAGGGGCATAATACTTCTAGGTGTGAAGTTTCAGCCAATTCTGACCACTCCTTCTATTTTTGTCCATCATTTGTATGGAGTCGCGGCACTGTGCGACTCTCGCAATGAGGCTGATGATTAGTCACTACTTTTTCCATTTCAGTGAAGATGTTTCCCTGCCAGCATTTTTACTGCGGAAGTTACAAATTCGATACGACATTTCTGAGAAAACCATCGCCGATGATAACGCTATTTTTTCGAATTCTTATCCGCTCTAGGGAAGAACTGTTCCACCAAGCCGTCACGATACGAA